GCCCCTGCTTGGTGTTGAGCTCTGCTGCTCCTCTGATGAATAATTCACTCCTGGATGTTTCTACTCTGCCGGCTGGGCTGCACTCCTGTGTGTGTGTGTGTGTGTGTGTGTGTGTGTGTGTGTGTGTGTGTGTGTGTGTGTGTGTGTGTGTGTGTGTGTGTGTGTGTGTGTGTGTGTGTGTGTGTGTGTGTGTGTGTGTGTGTGTGTGTGTGTGTGTGTGTGTGTGTGTGTGTGTGTGTGTGTGTGTGAGATGCTTCTGCTGGGTTGAATGTAGGCTAACGGGGCAATTTCCTGAGCCGAGGGTTGATTGGAGGTTTAGGTAGTGCTGCGTACATTTGAGCCATTGACTTCACGGACAAGGGTGACACATCCAAAGACGGAATCTACAATTCTGATTCATCTACTTTTTTCTCCGACCCGTTGATTACAATTTTTGGTCAACCAACTGTTGTTTTTCACTTGAAATGTTGAAAAATGGCAGCTTATGACTTATGTGTCTCAAACAACAAAATTCAGTTGTTCGAAGATTTTTTTCAGCCATATAAAATAGATGTTAGAAAGTTGTGTTTTTTCAAATGTACTAACAATAGTTTGAAGCAGCTTGTAACCCAATCAAAATACCAGATTTCTTATCAATTGAACAGTTTCCTAATCATTTGAATTGTGTGTTATTATTATTATTATTATATATGTCTGTGCCGATGTCAGGGTTTCGGGACACAGGATGTCTCATGTGTACAGACTGTAAAGCCCTCTGAGGCAAATTTATAAATTGCGATTTGCGGCTATACTAAATAAAATAAAATGAATTTAATTGAAATTATTGTTACTGTTAGTATATATTACTATAAGAAAGAAAATATAAAATTGTCCCTGTTGGTTGAAACAGCATTGAATCCAACCTTTAGTCTTATATATACCAGCTAATATAAAAATACATAACAAGAGAAATGATCTGTTAGCCAATGTGGATCATTGAATATTAGCAGAGAAAACCTGCTGGCCACCTTAATACCAATATTGCTTTATATGGATCTTGGTCAATGTAACTATCTGATTTATTTGATGAAATAATGTATTAATCTGGTGTATTAACGTGCATAAAATAAACATGATGTTGATACACTCAAAACAAGATTGAGGGACCTGTTAAGCACACCTGCTGAGCTTTAAGAGACCCAGTGGAGCGGTTCAATACGTCATCATGTGTATGTGTATGTGTGTGTGTGTATGTGTGTGTGTGTATATATATATATATATATATATATATATATGAGCACACTCCCACCATCTGCAGCTCACAGTACTTCTATGTGCTCGTCTCCCAAAGCCTTCCTGTGATAGCCTTATCCTGCGTAACTGGCTACACATACTAAGTAGTGTGGCGTGTGTGTTCGCGGTTGTCCACCGTAGTCTTTCTGCTTTTCTCCTCCTCCTCCACTTGTAATTTTACAGCTCGGGGATTATGGGTATCATCTTGCTGCCTGTCAGCCTAGTCTGATGCTGAAACGTTTCGGCCTCTTCTAACACAAACCAAAGCGAAGCCCAGACACGATGATGAAACCATTAGCAATATCTTGTTTACCTAAGACCCCGACTGCCTCTGAACAGTTTACCAGCAGCACTGCTTGGTTGCTAAGGGAAAGGGGGATACAACATGAAGAGGCACAGCTTAAAACTACAAAGATTGGGCTTATGCAAAGTGAGAAATGGGGAAATGTTGATGCAATTTCTCTAAAATCATTTCTGTAATTGGTGGAGTCAATACTGTGCGAGCCTGTTGGGGGCCTGTGGAAGCAGTGGAAAGGCTCCTTAGAGTTGAACTGTAAATAACACGAACGGCAGATTGCTCATGCATTTTAAAGCTAAATCCTAATGTTTATGATGAAAATAATAATATATAATATATTTTATATTTAGTTATAATAATAAAAAGTTCCATCACTGTATTCCACCTTCTCATCTCATCTTCCCACTACCTCGTACAAAACAAAATATCCTAAGATGTTGCGAGTTAAATAATGAGGAGAAAAGAGATCAAAAAAAGAATGACTAACTAACAATAGATAATACAAATACACCCTTTTCCGGCTTTACCTTGTGACTCCTTACTCTCCACGTTAGTTCAGCTACAGTAGCTTAACTTAAACCTCAGTGTGAACTCCATACAGCTAATTTTAGCAATTAAAATGAATTACTGAATTCTTAATAATTTACCTACTTCAATCCCAACTACGCGGACAGGGTTTATCTGCAGTGGAAAAGAATAGTAACTTATCCCAAACGAGTTGAGGGATACTAAGCAGCAGAGAAAGTTGTTGCTGTCGCAACATGAAGGAAAAAGTGTATAATACATAATTATGAGTACTAATGACAAGATTAGATTGAATTAATAAAACATATTTTATTGCCTATTAATGACTGTAACAAAGCAAAAGTAACATTAAGAATATTTGTTGATTTATAGACTTAAAATAAATACAGTGATTGAAATAATATGTTGTATGGTTCTAGACCAGCATCAAAGGCACCTGCATCTGCCAACGTGCATCATTAATGATTTTGAATTGGGATTAAATGCAAAATAACATTGGTCAGGGATCTAAAAGATATATTTGCTCTCTTATTTTTCTTTAGTGCTGATCCAATCTGTAACTCTGAATTTACAGTTTGGATCCAAATGTGATTATCCGTCGCACCACTAGCCAACAGTAGAGTACAGTTCATTCTGTCTGAGGAACACGATAGATAATTAAGAGCAATGTTCGCAACTGCCTTTCCCCTTTGTTCTCTTTAACAGTAGCACACAGAAAAATTACCCGTGTGGGGCAATGATGTAGTGAGTGCTGCAGAACAATGTGCATCATGAAAAGCTACAGAGAGCGGCGTGAGTGTGAAGTGTTCCTAAGGGGGAGCAGGAGCTGATCTACACAACAGTGTACATCATCAGGGACAAGAGCCAGAATACGGCTTCAGCAAGCCCCCAATGCTGGGCTGTGCCCATTAAAAAGCCATGAGTCGGCAGAAAGCAGCCCTCCTTGTGGCTGATACACACAAACACGCACACACTGTGCCAAGGGCTGGGGACACAGGCAGACTGCATGCTCAGCTGTCTGTGTCGGGGCTTCAAGTACTACAGCATTGAAATGACACAAAATGGATAGAACTGCCCACAATCCATTTGCATCTATCTCTATTTACTCCTTGATAGATACAGTTACACATTCATACACATATCTTACAGTTTTTAATATTTCAGTCCGATACCAGCAGATGTATTATCATATCCTGACTAATGAAGCTAGCATAAGCTCAGACAAGAAGACTCTACTCATGTTTGTCTGAGCCTGGAGTTTATTTCTCATGCATCTGCCAATCACTCCTCAAGCATCTCACTTATTATTTCCTTGCAGTCGTTGTTTGGAGCTGTCAAGCCATCAAGTGATGGAATACTGTGAGAATTACCCTGGAAACCAAACCCCGAAACCCAACACAGATTCCAACTGCTTCAACAAACATGAGCCTAGCAGCCTTGTTGGTGGACCTACCCCAATGGAAGATGGACCTTTTACAATATACACAGTATTTTACATTATGAGGTAAAACACAAAAAAGTGTCCTCTCCTGTCAGCGTGGGAAAACAGATGGGAGGGAGCCTGTTCCAGAAACACCCTCATAAACAAGAGACAACTTGCACACAAAAATAGATAAATCATGAAATTAAGCCTCGATAGTGAGATATCCTTCCAAAAAGGAAATTGATTCAATTGGCCGTTCTTCATACGTTTCCCAGTTTATACCCAGTTAGCAGCTGTATGGCAGTCAGCTGCCAGTAACAGATACCGGACCACAGGGTTCTGTTTGTGGTGTTATGCTTGTGTGAACTCTTGTGTCTCGCCTCCAAAGGGCCCAAATCATGGTAGGTCCTCAAGTACTCTGAGGCAGGGGGCCCCGTGCTGATTCAACCCACTTTCCTTCGTTGCCATTTGCATGCCTAATGCGCCATTCTCCTCCACCTGGTCGTTACCCCAAGCTGTGGATAATCGCACAGTGCCAAGAACATCGGTGCAGGTGACAATTATCTTGTTTTGAAGGAATGAACGTGTGCATTTAAGGTACTGCAGCCTGCATTTGAGGAACATCTGGATGAGTTAGAAGTGTTTTGTTTTGTGTTGCTTTGTGAGCCTCTCAAAAGTTCCAACAATAGTCTTTTGTCCCCGCTTTCCTCAAGGGATGCAAAAGACATCGTGCCATCGTCGACAACGGATTGCTATGGCGGGCAACCATTTTCCAAAATTGGCAACCAGCTTTTGTTGTTTTGAAACCACTTTCTAACATGAAGAATTATGGGCAGCAAACAGGAGCTTAATTTTGTTCCATTAATTACATTTAAATGAGTCGCCCCCCTACGGTCATCAGAGAGAATGCAAGATTAAGGAGCTTCTGCATTGACTTCTCATTTCACACTCGGAGTTGCCCCTTTGCCCATCTTAAATGCCTATAAGAGCAATACTGGATTAGTATATCCTTCATAAATTCAAACTCAAATGACCAAACAACTGGTCAATCAAATTGAAGTAGCTAATTTGTATTTCTTACCTGTGTCCGTGAGGTCTTCAACCATAGGGTGCCTTCACCCCTCACAGTTTTCCCCAATTGACCCATTACTTTTGATTGTTGCTGTTGGCTGGGAAGGGATCATTGGTTGTCTAGCTCAGGTATAGGCAAAGAGCGTCACGGCAGCTAGCTGGTGATTGATTCTGCAATGGGAACCTGAATGTGAAGTGCTTGTCCTAATGTCTAATTCTGTTCACATTGAATGCTCTTCTTTTTCACTCACTACTAATTCACTCATGCTTCTGCACTGCAGCAATTTAAACAAACAGTTTATTTTAGCCGTCAACTCATGAATATTTGTCATTTGTCAAATACTACTGTCCTTTGCTACCACGTTTCCCCAACAAATGCTAGAGTTTCCTCTCCTTTCCTCCCTCCGTCAGGGTGCCAGAGAGAGTGATGTCGGCAGGCGAGGAGCGGAATGGCCAGGTGGCAGCGCCAGTGTACGTGTACGAGTCCAAGGTCCACTGTGCCAATGTGATGCTGAGCCTGGAGGAGCAGCGGCGGCAGGGCATCCTGTGTGACGTCACCGTGCTGGTAGAGGGCCGGGAGGTGCGCGCTCACAGGGCCGTCCTCGCTGCCAGCAGCCGCTACTTCCTGCAGGCCCTGCTGGGTCACAACGGGTCGCATGGCGAAGCCGAGCCCATTGTTAACCTGCCGGACAAGGTAAAGGCGATAACAAAAGGCCTCACCAAAGGCCACCTTCTGTTACTTGGGGAATTCCAACAGGGAGACTTCCCAGGGTCATTTTAAAAAGGAAACGTTCCAGGTAAACTCGACTCTTTCAAAGTCACAGACAATCACTCTGATGAACTCCGCAGTGTTCTCCCTGTTTCAGCTGCGAAATCACGAAGAAGTTATACAAAGCTTGTGTTACAAAGGTAGACTAAGACATTTGAGATGGTTTAGCTTTTGAAGGCAAATCACATGAAACACATGAAAACGCCTCTCAGCCGTAGACAAATAATAGCCGCGACCAGCTACGCCGCATAGTGTGTTTTCAGCATAACACAAATGGTTTACACTGTTTTTCTGGCACCTGTTAAGTAAGCAATCTCTCTCTCTATAAGTGTGTGTCCTTCACATATCTCAAGAACTGTTATTCTGACCTACATCATACTCTGCTTGTGTTATGCTGAGTTCCCAAGGACGTGTAGTGGCGAAGTGCAATTTGGACAAGGGACACATTAAATATGAATCCTCTTTAAATAGACTGGTTGACTTACCATCATCCCGTGTTTGTACCTTTAATACAGGCAGAGAGGCGGCCCCAGCGGCTTACGTTAGCATATATCGCCCCGGATCTGTCATATTGATTAATATGTCCTAGTAACTCCACCGTACAATGATCACTCGCGCAGGCGTCCGCTACTTCAAACTCCACCCCCTAACAACAGGAAGCGTGGCTTCATTTCTCACATCCCCTCCGCTGTCCGTTCACTGCTCGCATAAATTACTGTACCTCAATTTGGCAAAGATGTAAACAGGTTGGTGTGAAATTCTGAATAGTTCACTATTAATAAAATAAAAAAGAGACTAATATGGACGGTATATACCTCACATGCTGTTTAGTCATGTGATCTGATCAAAATCATCTACTTTTGTGTTAATGAATACATCTACTCATTCTTCACTCCCATTATTTTCCTCAATAATTCTGTATTTAGCTTGAGGTTATTATTTGTATTTATTTAATTCAGCTTTAAAATTTGAATTAAATTACATTTAAGTGTGCATTCAATGCATGGAAATGACAGAATTGAGCAGCCAACAAAGTACATATTTTGGTGATATTTCACTATAATACAGCTTCATGATAACACAATATACACTATATCAACTTGAGGGTGAAATTAAAGGTTTAAAACTAGACCATGCCCACTTGATCCAATTTCTTCTCTGTGCTGCTACTCATCAGCGAGGTTGGTACTGTGAAGCTTTCTCCCGGCTCCTCTTGGTGCTGATGCAAGCTGAAAATAGGCTTACATGCATGCAGCATCACATGCTCTCTCACATGATAATGCAGTCGAAGCCAACCGTAGTGAACAAGGAAAAAAGCCAAGAAGATGATGGGGTGAAGAGTTGGGGGATGAGGAAAAAGATCTAGGCAGAAGACAGTAGATATGAGATTAACAAGGCGGGAATGTGGCAGAATTATTGACTATAGAGGAGAAAGTGGAGTAGTTGCTCCTGGGGTAAAATTCTGTTCCATTCACTTCTCTGTTAAAGTCCCAATCAGCGTTGTGTTCCTCCCAGAAAGATGTCATAATGTGGTAACTCACAACATTCTTCTTTTGCTGTGAAGAATATACACCAACAACGATGTATTAAATTAAAGCTTCTAATATTTGACACTCAACTTCATCTTCTTCTGTTTAATTATCTTGCAAGCAGAAGGGACAAGTTCTACAGAATATGCTACATTTTCAATCACGGATCACTCTCGGGGTGTTCTAATCCACGTGTTTCTCCATGCTACCGAAAAGCAGGGTACTCCCAGTCAAAAGTTTGGACACGCTCTATCAATCCATTCGATGAGAAAATGTGTCCAAACTGTTACTAGTACTGTAGTATGACACGTCTGTCACTGAAACATTGATCTGCTTGTTTAAGCACATTATAAAAGATACATGGCTATTCTAAGTAAAGTCAGAGTATTAGAGATAGTACATCACAATTGCACCATTCCAATAACATTCCAATTCCTTGCCTCATAGTGAGATACTTTCCATTACTTATTATCCCGCCTCTCTCTTCTACAGGTGACCGCTGAGGGTTTTGCTCCACTGCTCCAGTTTGCCTACACAGCCAAGCTGGTTTTAAGTCGGGAGAACATCCATGAGGTCATCTTGTGTGCTGACTTCTTGGGCATTCACAATTTAGAGGACTCTTGCTTTCGGTTTCTTCAAGACCAGTTGCAGAACGACAGCCGGCATGCCAGTAACGGCACGGTGGAATATGACGATGACATCACGGTGGATGTCTTTTCTGAGGCTATATCCTCAGATGAATCTGCAGAGACAAGGCAGCAGACCAATCACGTAGCAAGCACTGCGTCTCCTCCCGCTGACCTGTCTCAATGTCCCAAATACAGAAAGTATAAGTACCAGATCTGTGATGACAAGCACAACGGAGAAGACCATCATGGTGATGATGTCATCGTGGCCAACCACACCTCAGGCAGCCCTGTTAGCGCACAGCTCAGAGACACCGCTGCTCCACAAACTCTTCTTACACCCTCCAGGATCAAAGAAGAACCATTTGTTTTTGAGGAAGAAGGAGATGCAAGGAGCAACCAAGAATTGTGCACCGAGGAGGTCCTGGAGATGGAGCTTGAGGTAGAAGGGGTTCCAGTAGCAGCCGAGCACTCTCCTAACCAAGGGTCCCCCTCTTCCTGCCTGCGCTCTTATCTCCAGAAAGGCGGGCTAGATCTCAGCGGCGTGCCAAGCACCACCATCCAGCAGCTACTCACCAACAGACTGTCTCTCAACCACTACCGGGAACTGGTCAAAGACAGGCAGAGGGATAAGAAGGAATCTCTTGGCCAAGTGTTCCTCAAGACAGGCCTCGCAGATGTAATACCAACAGGGCTTACGTGCAAGAACACGGAAAGGCCTGTGTCCAAAGCCTCCTCCTCTAAACATGAGAGAGAACTCGACAGAGCAAGCGTCATTTTCTCCTCAGCTGGTGAGCAACAAATGTTGGCCCATTCTTACATGGATGACACGTTCAAAGAAAAGGGCTCAAATCTGATACACGTAGAAGCTCCTTCTCCTGGTCGGTCATGCCTCACCACCAGCTGTCCTGTTCCCATCAAGACATCAGTCCACTCGCCTTCCCCTTCTGAGCCCCGAACCCAGACGCCCAGCTCTCGCTCCTCCTTCTCGTACCCAGAGGATGCAGGCAGCGGCAGCTCGCCTTTTAACCTGCCCCAGTTTGACTTCTCCTCGTCCCCGCGCTCAGGCTCTGCCTCTGGACTCCCCCCCTGCCTGACCGGGGTGATGGAGCAGACGAACCCCCTAAGCGCTGAGCTGGTTTTCTCTCAGGGTTGCACCAATATAAAAAATGAACAGGGATTTGGTGCCAGCGGTGACAACTCCAGCGACGAATCAGGCTCTTTCTCAGAGGGAGACAGTGAAAGCGGCATCTCCAGAATCTCGGGCCCTGAGGTTTGTGGAATGCTCTTTATACTTTATTTCAAGTGGTTCTCCTTTGTGTTGCCAGCCAGCAGTTGCCAATTACCACCAAGTCACAACAGGACTGAATTGTGAGTTCTTTTAAGACATTAGTGACCTGAATGGATCGCAAGATGGAAACCACACGCGTGCAACTACAATTTAGTTTAAGAGCAGCCTCGTTACAAACGCGTCATGAGCTCTTCAGTCATCTTGTATTAACTTAAAACAGGCACTGTGAGTAGGAAGTCGATTAGAGTTATAATGCAGATTTTACTAAATGTAAATACATGTAGGCTCAAAACTCAGGCGCAATGTAACGCAGTGATTTTAGGAGAAGATATCCTGTCAGTATAATAGTTGTCTCATGATATTAGAGACCCTTAAAATGTTGCGGTTTAGGCTTTGAGGGGGTTTAAATGTCCCCAAACGGGTTTAGGACCCCCAGCATGTAGGTAGAAAGTAGTGGAGTCTTTTTTTTAAGGTGCGACAGCTCAGAATGTCCTGTCCACGTAGTCCTCATAGCCCGGAAACATTCTCGTGCTGTGGAAATACAAGAAATTTAGATTAACATCAAATTGCGTACTTAATAAAGTCTACAATGGTACTAGTACTTTGCACAAGTCAATGTAAATAAATCCCTGTATGGCTTATAATGGTGAGGTTTGCAATTAGCCTGTGTTGGGGGCAGCCTGTATATTATCTTGCCAAATGTCGACCCCTCCAAACAATAACCAACTACTTACACATATTCCTATGCTAGAAGCATGTGGCAATTACTTTTTCTCCCCAAGCATATTTAAGGTGTGATTAAAAACTGGGGCTATTCGTGCACTGTTTTTTTCGCTCAAGAGAAAACAACAAACGCGCTTTTTTAACACCTTCTCATTGAAGTTAAAAGAGCCTCATGGTCGCCATGGTGATGCCTAAAGCACATGCAATATATGAGATGTGAGATAAGTCTCATATCAGAGTTCTTTCACCCTCTCTCTCCCACACACAGCACATTAGCTTTATTAGATTTGAGTGGTAATGGCCTTCAGGCCCGTGGATGAGTCAGTGAATATGAGGTTAAGGTGCTCGGGCATTCTGAAGCATTTTAAAGTCACAATAACAAACGTACTTATTTTCTTGCTCCGAACAACTATAACCTTGACCGTCATCGTCATTCATGTATATTGGCATGTGATATTATGGTACATGCGCTGTCTTCTCATCAGGCCGAGTGGTTGTACAATCAGGCATACGGACTTGTTGAGGTTCATTCTGTTCAAAATGTCTTGTGACTTCACAAACAAATATTTAAACGGCTCATCTTGCACTTTTAGGCTAGTGCTGTACACTTGCTGTACACTCCTAAAGCATGTGGGAGCATGTCTTTAATATGTAAAAGAGGTCCCCATGTTGTGAAATGCATTGTTGTAACAAGAAAAGGGTTAGTTAATTAGCTTTCCCAACGAGCTTGATGTACATGTCCATTTTGGGATAGTATCGTTATATCAATGCTAGTACTTAAAGTAAAGTGATTCTGCTTATTGGATTATTTCCTTCTTGATAATCTGCTCTTTTGGATGACATTATGAGTAAACAAGAGAATGATCTAAATAAGTGAAGAATCAACATTGCTTTATCATTCCTTTAAGAAAACAAATAGCACATTTATTGAGCAGCAATAAATGCTATTATATGACATTATATTTGTACCACAATCCTGAGCGCGTAATTTTAAGTTTTGACCACAGAGAACTATATTTGAGCAAAGAAAAACATATTCCGTGCGCGCAGTTTACTCAGGTGCCCTCTCCACAAACTCGTTTTCTGCGCGCAGGCAGCCGTTGCTGCGCTCTCTCCACCTCTTCACGCTGCGCTCGCTCGACTTCCAGCAGCGTTACATTTGTGCCACAAAACCAACCAATCAGAGAATTAAAGAAAGTCAATTGTGATTGGCTGTTGGTCTCCAATCACAACGCTAGTAGAACTACCTACAGCATCGAGCTCAGCGAGTTGTGGAAGTTTGCAGCATTTGTGCTAAATGCTAATGGCCTGGATTAAAACACGTGCTGTTCTCATCATTTGCTTCGGTCATGTCTGATGGTGGCTAGCCGGACTTCTAATATCACTTTTTTTCGTCTTCTTTAGGAAGCGTTGTGATTGGAGACCAACAGCCAATCACAATTGACCTTCTTTAATTCTCTGATTGGTTGGTTTTGTGGCACATATGTAACGCTGCTGCAAGTCGAGCGAGCGCGTGAGTGAAACGTCGAGCGAGCGCGTGAGTGAAGAGGTGGAGAGAGCGCAGCAACGGCTGCCTGCGCGCAGAAAACGAGTTTGTGGAGAGGGCACCTGAGTAAACTGCGCGCACGGAATATGTTTTTCTTTGCTCAAATATAGTTATCTGTGCTCAAAACGTAAAATGACGCGCTCATGATTGTGGCACAAATATAACGCCATACTATGAACGCATTTAAATGCTATTAACGCAAAAGAAGTTGTAAAATCTTGGTCACAGTGCCTCTTCCACTAACATTAGAAAACTGAGCATTGATTTATGTTCTGCTTGTTGGTCTCATGTTGTGATAATCTGCTGTTTGACCCACTCAGAGTTCTCAGCATCTACCGCAGTAAAACAGAGCCACACTTTGGATCTCTTTCTTCTCTTGGCCACGCTGTGTGTCTCACGCTTTTTTTATGTCCAGTTACGGTTACACACTCTCCTCAGCTCTTCACGTGTTTTGAGTACTGCTCATTTGCCATAAAAAGAGCGAAATCCGTCAATGAAGATTGACAGATTAGTGGTGAGAGCATTGTGTTAGAACACATCCAGAACACGTGTCCACTAAAGTGTATTTATTCTGAGATGCAGCTCGTCTTCTATACCTGAAATGTGCTAATACGTGTGAAAAAAAGACTACTTTTTCATGCAATCTTTAATGAGCTCACCTGGATATCCACATTGGAAAAATGTGTAACTCCAAATAGGATTTAGTTTTTAAAATTGCTTTACTTAGTTCTGTGTTCATACATCTATATATCACTCCTGTGTGTGTGTGTGTGTGTGTGTGTGTGTGTGTGTGTGTGTGTGTGTGTGTGTGTGTGTGTGTGGGGGGGGGTCTGTCCCACTTCTTCGCTCTGACCCAGTTGTCTCGCCCATAGAGTGAACACACACACACACACGCACACCCTTGGGTGCCCTGCAGGTAGGTGGAAGGTGTTCTGGCCACGTTGCCTCCACCATCTGCTATTCCTGACCCCAGATCTGCCCTGTTCAATTAGGCCGGCCCCAAAGACCCTCTCCAGCCCATTTGGAGTTAATTCCCCTCCTTATCTAATTATTAGGTTACTCAATCCTCAATGCAACTTAAATACAAATGAGAGTTTAGTTATCTCAACAACTGATTTCAATTTGCTTTTACCACCCACCTATAGTCAGCCTAGCTTCTCGAGAGGGAGAGCTCACTTTGTCATTCCAACCTTTTTATGTGACTGTTGAGAGTCCTGTGGCTATATATAGATGTCTATACAGTAAAGGATACACACGCACACACACCTTCCTGTGTTGTCAGAGCAGTGAATGATGTCATGTTGTATGCTGGCAGCGTCGGGGCCGCCTGCTTTCCATGTACGATACTGACATGTGACATGACAGTATTCACTCATCAACAGATTAAATGAGCGATATTTCAAAAGTGAGAATACCGCTCCAGAATGAATGAGAGAATACTTCCTCATAATTAGGCAGAGACGGAGGGAAAGATGAATGTATAGATGTGACAGAAAGAGAGAATATCAATCAGGGACTGGCGACATGAACTGTAATAAAATGTTGAGATTCCATATGCCAGATCAAACATAATGAATTATCAAGTGTTCATGCACAATGAGCCACTTGCGGTGAGACAAAGAGCTCCTGTTCTCTTTGTGCCGAGCTGCTGGATCAATAAACGGCATCATACTGACACCTAGTGAATGCTGCACCACATTGACCTCCACCTGGAGGCAACTTGTGTCGACAGCTATTTAAGATGTATTCAGATAATTTAATGTAATGAACCGCTACTACTAACACACTATATTATTGGAGTATTATGTTGAATTTCCCTGCTGTGGCCTATTTAAGGGTTATCCCATCTGATGCAACAATGTGTGGGCTTTACTTGGCCTGCTTCCACCATAAGGAACGCCCACCTGTAGTTTTCTGTTTTCTGATCACAGCCACACTGACTGCAGACATGTGGGATCTCAGGTCGCTTGCGTGACTTAAAAATGAAATCCGTTATCAATAAAGTTACAGTCAAATGACAGTGGAAAACAAACACTGTATGAAGGAGTAAAAGATCCAATAAGTTAACGCAATAACAACATGGGTGATCCAGCAAATGTCATAGCTTTTTACTGTTGCTAAACAGATTTATTTACTGTAATAATGTGTCACGTATGTGATATGAACCTCATCACTCACATCAAGAAGAACACTGTGCCATAGATGAGTAATGTTTGAACAAAAGTCCTATTCAGGCTGAATCCACTGTGCTTCATTCCTGTCGGCCCCATGCACCACATTAAGGCTGCGATCATTCCTCTGATGGGCCACACTTTATGTCACAGTAACCCTGTGGAATGAATAACCCTTTGGTCCTTTTTTCAGGTGAAGCTGCCCTTCCCAGTGGACCACATCACGAACCTGCCACGCAACGACTTCCAGATCCTCATCAAGATGCACAAGCTGACCTCGGAGCAGCTGGAGTTTATCCACGACATCCGTCGCCGCAGCAAAAACCGCATCGCCGCCCAGCGCTGTCGGAAGAGGAAGCTGGACTGCATCCAGAACCTGGAGGGCGAGATCCGCAAACTGGTACGCTCACAGTATGACTTCATAATACCAGTTTGCATTATAACACCAGATCAAATATTTGAGAGCAGCTAGTTGCAATAATGCAACGGGTCATAATAAGCCTCCAGTGTTATGTTGCATGCAATGTGATGCTTTTTAGGTGACGTAACGAGGCGGGCTGACTGTAGCTCCTTCACCAAATTATAAAGAGAGCATAATAAAAAAATAAAACAGATCATCAATTAGGTGCATAACCAAAAGCACACAATGCAAGAAATGCAAACAGGCCAACAGTACGTGTTTTAAGTATAAAAGGAATTGTGGACAGGTTAATGATAAGTAAATATATAAATATTAAGGTGTTAATAAGGTGTTAAGGTGGCAAGGTGATCTCATCTTTTGACTTTTGGGTTGTCCACATGAAAGCGATATTTGGCCTTTGAACAAAGAAGTGACGCTGATGTTGTTTTAGTGTTGGTACATGCAGTATTCCCTGGATGAGCCCCCCCCCCCCCGATGACCCCGTGTCTTTTGCACCCACAGGTGTGCGAGAAGGACAAGCTGCTGAGCGAGCGCAACCAGCTGAAGGTTTGCATGTCAGAGCTCTGGCAGAACCTCTCCTTCCTTTCCCAGCAAGTGTGTAGGGAGGGGCCACCTCCCGTCTGCGCCAGCATCGACCTCACTTCCAATCCGCCGTCGCCTTCTTCTGACAGGGGCTCCCCCCGGCCCAGGTCCCCCGCGTCGCCACAAGGCCATATGGGAGGTCCGACCCGCGAGGGTCCCGGCCGGGACGGACTTGAGGAGTCAGGTCTGGGGCGGGTTGACCCCGAGCGCCCCCTCGTGCTGGGGGCCACACAGGAGGTATGTAGCCCAAACGTAACTGTGGATTTCTGTCAGGAAATGACTGAGAAATGTACGACGGAGGAACAGAAGACACAGAGCTGCACCTAGAGTCTGTTGACTGACAGTTTGTTCTGCGTCACCGGCACACTTCTCTTGATTTTTGAAGTATTTCTTTTGTTCTTTGTTTTTTGTAATGGATGACATAAGCGTTGTCTTATCAGCAATACTGTTCAACAGGTATTTTCAGACTGAAGATGAAATAGAAGCACTGGCAGCTTTCTTTCTTTCTGTGTCTCATCCTGACTTCTCTTCCTGTCAGCTTCCCTCCCTCTCTCGTGCATCATGGGAGGTAAAACTCAGGAATTCCTCTGAATGTTCAGTAAAGTCCTTGTTAACATGTACGCTGAAGCGCACTTTGCTTTACAGTCCTGTGAATCCTTGATATTTAGTACGATTGATTTGTAGCAAATACAAAAAAGTTTCAGCACGTCCGACTAACTAACTAACTCAAGAGTGGTCCAAAATGTGGGTGACTGCTTCTTTCCTTCCTTTCTCAGAGTGAGATGTTCTCGTTGTTTTCAGTGAATCTCGTTTCTGTGTGTTTAGTCCGAGGCCAGAACATGGTTAGCCTAGCTTAGCATAAAAGCCTTGAAGCAGGGTGTAACAACTAGCCTCTTTTAAAAAACAGAATCCTACTCTGCACTGAGACCTTCGGGTTATAGCACGAGCTGCCAGATACACTTTGTTTTGCTCTCAAACCCAACTGCTTCTGTAGGAGGAAGACGGGGGTTACTCTGGTTCAATTTGAGTTGCTACAGCCGCTGGCAGCCTCCCCCAGCCTGCGCTGGGTAGCTAATTCTTGTCTTTGATGGACAGTTACTTCATGAACACGTGTCTAGGCTTTGGACCCTGTCATAAGAGAGCAGATGTAGTGGGTCGGAAAAGGTTAGGGACGATAAGGCTGCCCTCTTGCGTGTCTACAGTTGGAAGAGTAGGAAAGTTTACCTTCACAAGCCTTAAATGCACATTTTTTGACTAGCTTGAAGGTCCAGTGTGTAGATTTGGGGACATAATGCAGAGATAATTCAGATTGCAACCAACTGAAACATCTCCCACGTGCCAAAAACTCAAATGGTGCTTTGCACAGCCGGGGTTTTGGCAGTTTTGGGCTACAGTACAGACATGGTGGCGGGGATGATCTGCTCCTACTTATAGATATTATATTCATAATAGATCCCTCGTGATCTATTGCGTTTTGAAATAAGCTTTTTTTCTTGGTCACTTATATTTATGGTGTAAGTAACTTCCAGTTTTGCAGTTATTCTGCTGACTCACCTGTGGCTTTTCACCAAGAAGTGGCCATTCTTATATCTCGTTAAAGAAATTGCAACTCTGTTGCTTATGCTAATGGATTGAATGAAACTTGAGAACAGCACAACTCCTCCTTGCTTCACACACAGACTCGAGCTGAACATCCATGTTCTAAGAATGGAAAACAATAAGTGTATGTCCACAAGTGTTGAACTAATCCTTTGAATTCACTATATGGTATTCCATCAAAAACAGCTTAACTACTGTTATAACATATTTTGAGTGATCTATTAGTTGTTGAGAGACACAGGACTTTAAAGTAAAATGTTACCAAAGGTGTGTATTTGTAATATTTTACATTAGATGAAACAGTCAAATGAACTCTCATTATGCAATGTTTCTTTTGTTAAACTTCACTTGTATCTTTTCTTGTACTCAGATGGGCATTTCTACACAATTCTCTCTCTCTGCCTTTTTTTCATATTTACGCTAAGAGACAGAACAGAATTAAGTTCAAGCACTGCCCAGCTCCTCTAAGAGGTCACAGCTGGCATCGAGTGTCCAGATAGATTAGAAGACCACACCCGTGTGACTGCTACATTTCTGCTCAGCGTTTTCCAAAGCATGCTGTAAGGTTTTCTTAGTCCATTTTCATTTATTCTCATGTTTTAAATGTCAAGATTGCAGCTTCCATATTGGGAATATTTTATTTTGTTGACAGTGACAGACGTATGTTCCATCTTACCCAGTCTATGGTGTTAACACATGCCAACTATCTTTGAACATCATCTTTAATTCCTTCATGAAAATAACACAGATAAATAATATATATATATATTTTTTATCCATTATGAAACAAAACAAAAAAATAACAATAGCACACATGTTCACTGTGTCTGATTCCATATCTCAAGCAACCTCGTAGTTGATTTGTACATTATGTATTGACATAGAAACATGCTGTGGAAAATGGATGGCGGTCTTGTAATTGACACACGGCCCACGTCGGTGTGGTCAGCTAAAGAACTGCTTAAACAAATCGTAAGTGCTCTTTTTCATCGTTTATTTATTGTCTTAAAGTTAATAGGAATTTGGTGTTTGTGCTTCTGGTAATTATGTATTTAGCTGCATTGTTCTTGTGTTGTACATAAGACAAATATTCCCACTAAAAGTACTTGGTATTGTATCTGAGCAAGATGTCGTCGCTTTCAAGTTCACACTTGGTACGTGAATTTGTTTAAACACGAGGCAAAATGATCAATTTCTACTTACAAACCAGTATCCCGAATAGTGCAGCCACGGAGCTGCAAGTTCAGAACAAACACTCTGGCACCGTATTGATTTAGGGGGATGCTAATTCATCTGCTGTGTAAAAGTCGATGGCGAGGCACGTGGCAGTGGCGAGTGCCGCTCCCCGCCAACGCTGTGCTCTCGCGGCTGCACTTTCCTCCGCACAGTCCTGCACGTCCGTGGTGTCCGATGTGTTTGGGCTTCTTGTGGCCACCGGCGTTTAGGGGGGCATTCAGTTTGTAGTATACTGAAGAACACTGCTCAGCTGACTTTCTTAGACTTTAATTCCTCAATGTGAACTTGTTCATTTATTTATTTGCACTCTTGTTTTGGGGGGGTTCTAGGTCGGGTGTAGAGGAAAAAGCTTAGATGTTAGATGTAGGTTGCTACCCTCTCCTAGAGTTGATTTGTCAATGGTTGTACTTTTTTATTGTTGCCAATTTTCATATGAACTATGTAAGTATTAATTTACAAATTGCAAATGTACTTACTTCCATTTATTTCAATGTAAGAGGTGTGAGTATGTTTACAATTTCTGTGAATTACCTTTTTTTTGGGTAAAAGACATCATTAGGACATGAAAATTAGGTGGAAAGCTTTTTTTGTTTTATTAACATAAGTTAAGTGTTGACAAATTTGCGTGGAAAGTAAGCATCTGACCAGAGCAGCTACATTTTCTTGCCTTATATGTTGCAAAGGCCAAACTGTCTAGTGAGGGGTTTTAGTTCAAGGGAAGCTGCACTGCAGGTGTGATAAAACGTGGACTTCATGTGACACCTTTAATCTCACTGTTCAAGCGGTCCGATCCAAAAACATGCAGGCTATGTGAGTGTGGCCGGGTGTCTGTCCTGTGTCTGACCGGAGACATGTCCAGGGGGCAGAAGGCTGACCGGCTCCAGCCCCCCTACGACCCTAATGGACGGACGGATGGATATTCAATAAGTTCCCCTTTGTGACCAATAGCAAGATAAGCCAAGCCCAACAGTTTAATGCCAATACATACAGACAGAATATGGTATATTACCATGGAATAATTGAATAAAGCACTCCATAAAAAACATTTTGAAATTTAAATTGCTGAAATTGAAAAAAAGGAAAAAATTGAAAAATGTTGTAATTATAAGATAATTAAAAAGTTCCAGTTGTTTATGGTTTATGGTATGTTTATAGTAGTTTGGATTATTTTAAAATTTGTTAGCATCGTTCTCCTCACAGCGTCCTGGGTTCGGACCACCTTTCTCTCTGATGCGTCGGTTCTCTCCTGCTACTCCGGCTCCCTCCCGATCTCCAAAGACAAGTAACACACGTCCATTGGTGACTCAAATTGCCCGTAGGTGTGTCAATGGTTGTCTGTCTCCTTATCGGCACTGCAGTTGACTGGCAACCAGTCCAAAAGGCCCCCTGCTCTCGCTCCATGCTGGCTACCATTGACTCTGTGAGGATAAGTAGTTAGAAGATGACTCACTGATGTATACATTAAATTACCTGTACTTGTATAGCGCTTTTCTAGTCTTCTGACCACTCAAAGCGCTTTAACACTACATGACATCATTCACCCATTCACACCCATTCATACACTGATGACAGGAGAACCATACACAGTGACACCTGCCATCAGTAACTACCATTCACACACTGTAGTCGCAGCTAGAGGAGCAATGTTGGGTTAAGTGTCTTGCCCAAGGACACAACGACATGCGGGTTAGCCGGGCCTGGGATCGAACTGACAACCCTCTGATTGGAGGACGACCATGCTCCCCACTCACCCACAGTCGCCCCGCACCTGCATGTGTTCATTCATATCCATGTTCCTTTTTTGTTTATTCAATTTTGACCGGTGTTACTCTCCCATCCATACACCTACAGGCTCTGCATGATCAACCATAACAGACGGCCAAATGTTAAGGTTAAAATGTGCTTAATCAGGTGATGTAAGGCTGGCTTTCTGACATGTCAGATCAGAAGTCTGGCATTTATTGTGAAACAAAGTTTATTAATGAATGAATCCCAAAACCTGTTGGTCCTAATCTGCTTCCATTACATCAGCTGAAACACCATCTAGTATGATGAGTTAGCAACATCAACACCGGAGCAGAATACAAGGGGATATTAGAATCTAATAGAACATACCAATGGTTCCTTTTTCTCCCGTTTGACTATTAAATCCATTCACTTGATACAACAGCATAACGGACCTCTGAATTATGCTGATGTAGTTTTACTACAGACATGACCACATTGGACTCCATCATGTACCTGAATATAGCTCAACCTGGAACTTGGAAAGAAGTGATACTTCAACTTCAAGGGTTTGAAGACAGTATACGTCACTGTGACAGTTTGGGAAACACAAGCAAGTTTCAAATATCTGCTTGTTTACCTAGAGGTACCTAGACGGACAAATTTACACAGTATGCTGCAAAATGAATGTGACTTCACACGACTACATTGCACGAGTCAACAAACATGGGGCCGATATCCTCCCAGTAGCCAACTACATGGCCGTACATTTTTCTTCTTAGGATACTACTTTCCAACGTCTCTGAATGCATCTCCAGTGTACAGTTATTGTTTTGACGATGAGCAGTGGTTATCAGGGAAGACTCAATCCTTTAAAGTATGTTTAAATGACAATTCATGGTGGCAGAATAATTTATTTAATCTAATCTGTTTACAGAATTTGTCAATTGGAGCCACTTGAATCTCATATTGTGATTTCTGAGATGTTTTATTCCTATTATCTCAGTCAAACAGACTCTAAGCACTTATCTACCTGGATAATTCAGCATACCTCGTCTTAAGGGTACAGTCTGTATGATAGACATGTAGACAGTTTCTGTGGTGGTGTTTTGAACTTTTTACAGTGGTTACTTTTTATGGTATTTGTAGATTTCGGTGAGCCATTTTTCCGTGTTTCTTTTTTATTTGAGTACCTACAACATGACTGTTAAATGCAGATTTTAACATTTTCCATTTCCTTTTTATCTTTGAATGTTCAAATTACTTGTGTATTGTTTCAATCTTTTTGTAAATATTGTGCAACATGTTTTTTTTATTGATATGAAAATGGTTTAAAAGAAGAAAAAAAACAACATTATTTCCAGGGGGGGGTTTCTTGGGAAATAAAACAAACAGCATGACAGTGTGGTGTGTGGATTGTCATTCAATATCTGTTGACAGAAGGGTCACTGTTTTGTTGAGAAGCATTTTAATCCGAATACAATATAAAGTATCATTACTTCTCATGAACTGGCCGTCCATAAAGGACCATATACACATGCCCACAGATTCTAAGTGTTCAGTTTAGAAAAAGTAAGCGGAAGCAGAAAGTCCCAGTTAGCGAAGCCGACTGATCCTCTGCGGAGTATGTTCCATAATGGATTTTTTTGTTCCTGCACCCTCTCAGAGAGAGAGATTGAGCCATCACATGGAAATATGTCTGCATAAAAAATAAGAAACAGTTATAATCCTGTTCTTCTCAGTTCCCACACGGATGTTCTAAAGTGCTTCAATCCCAAAACACACTGGGCGTCAGCGCTGACTCCAAGCTGGGTGTCCCCCTGGTTTTGTCCCGGCGTGACTTGAGTGGTCAATCGATGTTGAAGCTGATTAAGTTTGTGTAACACAGACCACTCTACTGCCATGGTGTTAGATCCCCCACGCCTCACTTCTTCATGATAGAGGAGATATCCAGAAACATGCTCTGAGAAAGACAAGAGGACAGCTCAGACTGGACATGAAACATATACATACACTTATATATTACTGGGGTGCAGTTGAGGCAAACACCTGTCAGCGTCTGTCCAGTGTCACTCTTTAATGCTGGGATTGGTAACCTTTAAAAATAGGTTTGTTATAATGTTCAAATTCCTCATCATATTCCAACAGCAAGCAATAATGAAATGTATCTGTCACAGGACCACAATAAGCTATCCGTAATAATTGGACGGGCTACCTGTCTACCGACCTGCCTATTTACATGAATGTAAACTCAACCCTCCCAAAAGTGTACATTTGGGGGTGTGGCTTTGGAGGGAGGCCGGAAGGGACGGGTTTCCAAACATTCCTGGTAGATTTATCAACTCGCTATTAATCAGTGACCCGAATATTATTGCATTTATCATTATTATTTCTGTAAAGGAATCACATGGGAACAAAGAATGATGAATACATAGAAGACAAAACACTGCAGGTTTACATATTCTAAAATTGTTGTTGATGATAAAACAATATTTGAATATTTGAATATAATATGAAATCTATGAAGCTCAGCAAATGGGTTAACGCAGTTGTAGGTGCATTTCCATTAACAGAAAAACATTTAAGTTTTTTAACACGTAAAGGAGATTTTTATTTCACATCCTTCTAAAAATGTTAAAACAGGTATTGTCCCTTTATTCCATTGTACAATAATTTGACGGCATGATTTAATAATTGTGCAATTAAGAGCACAATTATATATCATTATATTTGAAAGATTTCATGAACAATTAATTATAATCTATAAAATTTACATTGAATCTAATTTTGTATCTTAAAATATATTAATAATGATCTATTAATTTGTCAATTTGTTCATTTTTAAAATAAACTAAATTTAAACAAAATTTAGATCACATATTTTCGTTTGCATTTTTATTTATGTGTGTGTGTTTTCTTCTTGTTTTTTGTTCATTTTAATTTTATCATACAATATATACTAATATTGGAAGTTCTGTCTATAATTCCAGCACAATTGCTGGACCTCAGTGCCACATTTGATACCATAGACCATTGTATCCTGTTGCAGAGACTAGAACATCTGATTGGTATCAAAGGAACTGCACTCAGCTGGTTTAAATCCTACTTATCGGATCGATCCCAGTTTGTGCTTGTAAACGGTGAATCCTCAAAGACCACCAATGGTCACGGAGTGCCACAAGGTTCTGTACATGGAGTGATTTTTTTACCCTCTATATGGTTCCTTTGGGCGATCTTATCAGGAAACACAGCATAAACTTCCATTGTTATGCAGACGATACTCAACTGTATCTGTCGATCAAACCAGAAGAGACGAACCAGCTAGTTAGATTTCAAGAATGTCTTGGAGACATCAAAACTTGGATGACCGGCAACTTTCTGATGCTAAACTCAGAAAAAACAGAAGTTATCTTGATAGGCCCAGAGCGCCTTCGAAGCCAGCTGTCACGTGATACAGTTTTTATGCATGGAATTGCTCTGGTACCCAGCAGCACTGTCAGGAATCTGGGAGTTCTCTTCGACCAGAATATGACCTTCCACTCGCATACAAAGGAGACTTCAAGGACTGCCTTTTCTCATCTACGTAACATATCAAAAATCAGGAACTTCCTTTCTCAAAGTGATGCAGATAAATAAGTTCATGCGTTTGTCAATTCCAGACTGGACTACTGTAATTCTTTGTTATCAGGCTGCTCTTGTAAATCTCTTAAGCCTCTCCAGTTGATTCAGAATGCTGCAGCACATGTATTAACAAGAACTAAGAAAAGGGATCATATTACTCCTGTATTAACTTCTCTGCACTGGCTCCCTGTTAAATCAAGAATAGATTTTAAGGTATTTTTCCTCACCTCCAAGGCACTTGCTGGTGAGGCACTGTCGTATCTTAAAGAGCTTGTAACACCATATTTCCCTACAAGACAGCTGCGCTCCATAGATACTGGGTTACTTGTTGTTCCTATGGTCTTAAAAAGTAGGATGGGTGCCAAAGCCTTCAGTTATCAAGCTCCTTTTTTGTGGAACCAGCTTCCACTTTCAGTCCGGGGGCAGATTCGGTCAGCTCTTTTAAAGTAAAACTTTCCTCTTTGATTTTGCCTATAGTGTACGGGGGACTTCTTAGGACAAACCGAGATCCTCTCTCACGCTCTCGTTCTACAACAATTCACGTTTTATTAATGCACATGACTAATTCAGCTTCTTTCCGGGAGTTTTTTGTGCTTTCTCCCCCAGCATGTCTCCGTAGATCGTAGTTCCTTCTAGACCCTGGTCCTGACACCTGCCGTGGCCCTGCTGACGCCTGCTGCTGCCATCATCATCATCATTATTATTTTAGATATCAATCATATTACTGTACTCATAAACCAACATTACCCTCTCCTAAAGTCTTTGTGCTCTCCCTCCCCACAGGCTTCATTGGATGGTGGTTCTATCTGATGGTGGTTGCCCCTGCAGTGGTCCTGCTGGGTGCCTGGCTTACTACTCACAATTTCTTGAATAATTTCTGTCATAGGAATTGCATGTATTATGCATTGTTCCTTCTGTACACATGGCATCCATTGTAGTCTGTCCATCCCGGGAGTGGGATCCCTCCTTTGATGTTCTCCCTAAGGTTTCTTCCCTTTTTTTCCCTCTTGGAAGGGTTTTTTCATATTTTGGGGAGTTTTCCTGTGCCGATGGTGGGTTTCGGGACAGAGGATGTCGTATGTGTATAGACTGTAAATTTGTAATTTCCGATTTTGGGTTATACAAAATAATATGAATTGAATTGAACAATTGCAATTGTCTCCTCACTGTTGTTGCTGTTTTGCATTTCCCGACAGAACTGAAAAGCTTTATCCGTCGTTTTGACTTTGATTTTGTCCTATTACATCCTACTGGATCATTGAATCGGGAGGGGTTGCCAATTTCTCCCTTTTATACGACAGCAATAATGTGTTTCCTCCACCTCTGTTTGTATTTGCTCCTGTTTTCTGCCACCACTTTTTCTTTGGATATTCTCCATCTTTTTCATATTCTATATTCTGGCCAAATCAATTGGTTGACCTATTTGGATGAAAGGCGTATTTTCATTACTGTATCAGTAAGCCAGTATTAGAGTGATTTTTGCTTGGACTTATTTGATAGTACACTATCATAATCTCCATATTTCATACATATAACATATATAGACTATTAGGCTCTAGACACCAAAGGCAGGTAAAAGCAAATTCCAGCACATTAGAAGATCTCCACTCTTTACTTGCCATTGACATTCTTCGGCCTCCAGCAGGCGGCATCATTGGCATGTCTCCCTGCAGGGAGCCCAGTTCATCTGACTCCTCTGAGGTATGCAAGGAAGGGCTGGTGGAGTCACTGATAGAAGACAAGCTGTCAGATGGTGGCCTAATCATGAAGCTGGTCTTCCTGGGGTTGGATAGCAGGACTTCACTCTCATTTGACTCCCTTCGATGATTCTCATCCAGGTCTCTGATAGCGCTGGGCCTTAAGGTGCTAGTGGACAGCAGAGCTTCCAAATGGGTAGAGTGAGGGCACTCTCCCTCATGGGGATCTGGATGATGGTTTGTTGCGTTTCCCTCCACAGTTGATACAGCAGCCCAGGCCAGATGATGGTCCACCATAGCTGTGCGGATTTCTGGACCTTCATGGGTTTTGGGGGCTTGAATTGCAAAGTTCCTGCCAGACCCGGGCGGCATCCTAGGTTCGGGACAGATATAGCTGGTCTGACTGTGTCCCATATAGGCCAAGCTGTTGTGTCTTGGTGCCTCCTGGTTGGCTTTGAGCACAGTATTGTAATATGGAGGCTTCATATCTGCCTCTGGAATCACTTTGAAGGTCTGAGTCAAAGGCCCGTTGTGAGGTGATACATTACTCATTACACAAAGGTGTGGTAACGACTTCTTCTTAGCCTTGTAAATCAAACTGTCATCTTCCGTGTACCTCTCTCCATACAGTGTCTGTTTGATTTTCCTGATTCCCAAGTGGGATATTTCCAGTATGTTGAGGAACAGTGACACACCAGCAATGACAATCATGAAAACCATGAATATTGTCTTCTCCGTGGGCCTGGAGATGTAACAATCTACACTGTTGGGGCAAGGTAGCCTATCACACTTATAGAGGGGCTCTAGTTGGACACCATAAAGTATATGCTGGCCGAAAATGAAGCAGACCTCCACCAGAGAGCGTGTAAGGATATGGATGATGTACGTTCTCAATAGAGAGCCTCTGAGAGGAGCCTTCTTCACCCTCCTCTGCTCGTCTAGCCTCCTCAGTTCCCTCTCCATGCGCTTATGTTCGTCCAGCGCCAACTCCACCTCATCCAGCTCCTCCTTCAGCTGGGCCCGTCTGCGGTGGCGCTCCTTCTCAAGTGCTCGCATGCAGTAGAGGGCATGGCCCATGTAGACTAACGATGGCGCAGAGACAAAGATCACCTGCAAGACCCAGAAACGTATGAGGGAGATGGGGAAGGCACGGTCGTAGCAGACCGCCTTGCAGCCTGGCTGGTCAGTGTTGCAGACAAACTCGGACTGCTCATCATCCCATACGTCCTCAGCGGCCGCACCCAGGATCAGCATGCGGAAGATGAAAAGTATGGTAAGCCAGATCTTGCCCACGATAGTAGAATGAATGTGGACCTCTTCTAGGATGCTGCCCAGCAGGTTCCAGTCACCCATAGTCAGCGTTTCACCTCTTCACTGTCACATGTCCTCAAACTGTAGAAACACAGCATGCACAAAAACAAACTCCATATTAATTTTCAGATCTGAACGTCAAACATGCTCAGTCAGTGCCAGAATCCTTTTTAAAACAATAAATTCTGTACCCCCCCCCCACACTGAAGCAACCTGCAGATTCAATTCCAGAGAGATGTGAGGGACTTTTAAATGACTTATCAAAATAAAGTCCTAGAGATTTGGCTGCATTTCAATAGAGAAATCACTTGCTTAACCAGATGCTGACTCACCCATACCATATTCACTATCTCACTTTTTTATCCCACACAGTGAAATCTCTCTGTTAGACTACGCACCATTGCACTTTCAAAATCTCCACCTGTCCTCCAGACTGTATTCCCACTTGGTTTTTAAAAGCTGTATTTCAGACAGTTGGTCCTCACATTTGATCCATTATTAACTGCTCCTCGTCAACTGGTATTTTTCCCTCAAATTTTAAACATGCTACCGTTAGTGCTGTGAACTAATTGCATCCGACACAGGCCTGTACTACTTTAATTGTTCTTGATGTCAGCTTGACTTTTGATGCTGTGGACTACAACGTTTTAATCAGCCGTCTAAAAAATTCTGTTGGGGTCAGTGGTGTAGCATTGGACTTGAACTGAAGTTCATATCTGTCACACAGGTAATTTTCTATAAAGCTTAGAGATGCCTCCTCCTCATTTGCTTCTCTGTTCGGTGGTGTTCCTCAGGGGTCTATTTTGGGTCCCCTTCTATTCACCATATACATACTACACCTCGGTCCCATCATTTGGTAACGCAGTTTCATTGTTACTCAGATGATACACAACTTTACATCCCTATCAAGGCTGGTACCTCTACTATTTCCTGCATCATGCCCTGCTTTGCAGACAGAAATTGGAAATTGGATTTGGAATTGAAATGTCCAAGAATGTTCTGTTAAACAACTCCAAATGCAAGGTTTTTATTATTTCACCTGCCTCCCCGAGCTGTGTTGCTGATCTGGGAATGCTATCAACAAATGTTCGGCATGAAGCATGCAACCTCAGCATTCTTTTTGACTCTGTGCTGTCCTTTGATACTCAGGCTACCAAAGTTCTGAAGATCTGCTTCGCCCAACTGAGACAATCAAGAAAAAACTGGTCTTTCCTCTCACCTGCAGACCTGGAAAGAGTCATCCACGCGCTCATCTTCCCCAGGCTGGATTATTGCAATGCACTTTATTCTGGCATTAGCAGACGAAACATTCAGAGACTTCAAATGACACAGAATGCTGCTGCTAGGCCTTTAACCCTAACAAGGAGAAGCGATCTCTGCACTGGCTACCTGTGAGCTTTAGAATTTTAAGATTTTATTGCTTGTTTTTAAGGTTCTGAACAAACTCGCTCCTGCCTACATCAGTGAGCTCTTGAGCCCGTATGGTAAATGGTAAATGGACTGTACTTGTATAGCACTCAATTTTCTAGTCTTCCGACCACTCACAGTACTTTAACACTACGTGACATCATTCACCCATTCACCTGCCCATCAGTAACTAACATTTGTACGCTGTAGTCGCAGCTACAGGAGCAATGTTGGGTTAAGTATCTTGCCCAAGGACACATCGACATGCGGGTTAGCCAGGACTGGGATCGAACCCACAACCCTCTGATTGGAGGACGACCGTGCTCCCCACTCACCCACAGTCGCCCACGTATGAGTGTGGTGCCTGAGATCTTCAGGCAGGGCCTTATTAACAGTCCCAAGCTCTCGATTGGTCCCTAAAGGTAACTGGGCCTTTGCGGTCAGGGCCCTTGTACTGTGGAACTCCTTTCCCTGCAAATTGAGACAGGCAAATTCAGTGTCCTCTTTTAAATCTCTTCTGAAGACTCACTTTTCCCAGCTGGCTTATTTATATATTTGATGGATTTTATCTTATTTATTATAAACTGCTTGATTGTAAATAATAATAATAATAATAATAACTTAGAATATAAACTTATATATAAATAAAAGTTATTATTATTATTAAAAATTATAGGGGTTTTCTTTGTATACGAACCATTGATTATGACAACAACATGTTCACAGGATATTACAATCTCACTACAAATAAATCAAGCAGCAGTCCAATAATACTAAGTTGGTGCATCATTAGATGGATGTCCAATGGATGTTTACAACCAACAGTTTAGGTTACAACTTTAGCATTTGCATATATTTTGTACCTCTGGATGTCCACTTGGTTGATCTTGTTGCATCTATTTTCAACAATTTGGCTTTCCAAGACCTCGCAAGACCGAAGAGGAATTCATTTGGTGAGTACAATGTTTTTGTCAACCAGATCAACTTAAACCAAAGTTGTAACAAACGCTGGCAATTCTTGTATAAGTATAAGGGTGGTGTTACTGTATATTTTTAGAATCCAGTGACAATATCAATACTTTCTGATATTCCCACCTTGTCAGAAGTTCTAAATGTTGAGCTCATTGGTCCAGTATGTATTGAGAGACATGAACTGAGATATATACTGGACCAATCAGCAAACTAAATGGAGGGTTTAGTTGTTCATGTAAAACTCATCAGGTCTTGAAAGGATCACAAACACCAATTCCAATGATCTTTCCAGTTCTAACATTGCAGCAACCACTGACATCCTCACAAGTGTTGAGCTCGTCCAATCAGGTATAGGTGGGTTCACGGTGATGTCTGATTGAAGGAGATAACTGTCAATCATGTGTTGTACACCCTAATTAAAAATGATTGTATGCATTTTGTATTTGTTATTTTGTGCATAAAAGTAAAGATGCTTTCTGAGAATGTGAATTATTTATGAATGAGGCTTTTTATTTTAGAAACCAATAGTGTTTAAATTGTTTGGATGGCTTATACTATAGCCCAGTATAGACTATCACCGTGGCTTTTTATTATTTAGTCTATGGTGCAGCGCAGAAATCTTCTCTGGATGACATCATCCTAACAGTCTGAGGAACACAGACACTCGTTTTAAAAAGAACATGACTTCACGACTCCAATGATTTTATTGACCCACTGACATTTAAATCACGGTTGTTCTTTTTCAAGGCCTTAATAAAACTTAGCTCTTATCATAATGAGATGCCCCGGGCAAATCCAGACATCCTCTTGTCAAAGATGTCCGTGCCATTACCAGCACCTAATGGTTGGTGTGTATTCACCACAAAAACTATGCTGATTAATAGGCATTTATGAAAAATAAAAATAGCAAAAAAAATAACATTGAGCTTTGCATTGGTATAGAATTTGTTTTTGGTGGAATTTCCCACAAGTGCAAAAGGAACTGCACCAATTGGGTCTGGTTCCTCTGTTAGAAGGCCAGTAATTCAGCAGTAACGTATTTATGGTATAATGACTTACATGAGTCATGCCCGGACTAATGTGTTGGGAATTGGGAACATGAAATTACAACAAATGAATCGATCATTTCAGCAGTACTTACGTATCACTGGTACGTGCTCCCTCTTTGCCTCTTGGTGCACTTCCTCATGTTTAGATAAACATCCTAGGAATTGGCTGTGTCTGTATGGCTACCCCATGGAGGTGTTTAGTGATCCTCTTGTGTCGGTCCCAAACTCCAGTCCACATCCCACACTGCTCTCCTCTGTCTTTGTCTGGTTTGTGTGTGCTGCGCCTGCCTGTGTGTTGGGAGTGCTCTCTGCATCTAGTCCCGTGTTACATGAAGGGTTCACAGGATGTTATCATCGATTGCTTCCCGACGGGACAATGTCCCTTCACCCAGCAGTGCCAACTCCAACCAGTGCCATCAATATCAGTCGCTCTGACAGAGAGAGGTGATATTTGTTTAAATGTGCAAAGTATGGAAGCAAATGGTTGCACACATTCAGTGTACCAACTTTAGATGTCGGTTCAATTATTGCAGAATCAAAATGGAAGTGAATTATATTTTTGAAAACAATTCAAGGTCAAATAGTAATTGGTACGCGCGTAAACAGGAATATTATGGTGATTTCCCTTTTTATTGGCCATGTACCTGATGTCTTTGCTCTGCTGTATATCAAACTGTTTAAACAATATCATGACATAGGCGTGAGTTTTTAGCATAGTGAGGGCTGACACTATCCCAGCCAGTAAGGCCCCAAAATCCCATACCACAGTGAAACAATAGCACATATTACTGGCTTGATTTGAGAGCCCGGGTGCTTGGCTGCATAAAATGACCAGCTGTGCCTGGAGGGCCTTTAATTAGGTTTCCATCGCGCTCTGACTGAGTCAATGGAGCATTGATTTGATTTTCCCTTCAGAAGCTGTGGCCATGGTCGCTGAGGCCAAACGTCACCCCAGGATCATTGGATTACACAACCTGCTTCATCAGTAGTTCCGCCCAATGGCCTGACTGACAGACAGCTGATGGGAACGGTGTAAGGGCATTGTTTTGGTTACAGTGAAACAATAGAATTATTAATAATCACCAAGATGATTAAGAAAATAAATAAATAACGGGGCACTATCCTAAAAGAGGACTAATAACTAATCTATAAATCAAATCTCGTAGTTGATTAAGAGCAAGAAATTGAAGGTTTCAACACTGCACTTCATTCCCAGCTACCAACACAGCACACATGAACGGAAAAATCAACAAACTAACCTGAGCCAGTCCTAACTAAAAGCATTATCAAAGAAGATAGTTTTAACCACCCTGATTATTTAATGACCATTTAAATAAAGGTGAGGTTTTTGTCCAAATGTGTAAACATAAGTGTTTAGACAAGTTTATACAAAATGAGGATGGCACGAATGAAAAAGTTTCAGTTCGCCAACCTTTTCCGCCCTACTTTGTTTTTGCTTGCACATACTAAAAGCGCTGTACCTCTGCAAATCACAAGTCTATCTGCAATTCTGTGGTGTTTTGATTAAAGGGAACACTTGTGAGTGTGATCATATGTGTAAATATCAGTGCATGTGTTTTTTTGTTTAACAGCAAAAATGTCGACTTCCGATTCGGTTGAAAAAAAAGGATGCAGGCTTTTAAAACATGGAGATATCATAGCACAGTGTCTGTGGAAGTTTTACTTCGTAGCCCAGTGAAAGTGGAGTTGGATTCCCTAAACACCGCGGTTTTCTTTTAATAAATCCTCATGAATCCTCCTAACCATCTTTCCTTGACCCCATGACTTTTTCCAAAGAGGTCAAGGAATAGTGGTTCGGAATAGACGTTAGGAGGTCATTCTTTTGACCATTGAAATCCAGCCTTGATCCATGAGATGGGGCGGTTGGGGGGGTCCTACAATGTCCCTATATCCTTATAGGGGGCCCTGACAAGTTTGGTAAGACGCTGTTAACTTTGAATTCCCCCGAGCTAAAAATTTTTTTAGTTGTCTCACCATCCCTCTCTTGTAGGGCAATGAGGTACAATAGGCTCCTTAAGATACAAGTGCCTTGTTGGAGAGGAGAAGTATTTTAAATTCCAGTGCAGATAAGCTAATACAGGAGTAATGTCTTGTCTTGTCTTATTTTGTAGTTTTCTGCCTCTTGTCTCCCTGGGTAACTTCACTTCCTGCCTTGTCCTGTGATTGTCTGATTGTTTCCACCTGTGTCCAATCACCTGCACCTCTCTAGTGTATTTAAGCTGTGTGTGTCTCTTGTCACTTGTCGCATCATTGTTGATTTTTCTGGATGTTCATAGGTCCTGCCTGCCTTTTTGCCCCCAGGCCCTTTCGGAGTTTATGACTATTAAAGTCTTTTTTTGGTTTGAAGTCTGCGCTTGAGTCCTGCCTTCCCCGCAACCTGACAAATAATACAATGTTTTTTTAAAGTTGTTAAATACACGTGCTGCAGCATTCTGAATCAATCGCTGAGGCTTGACCGCTTTTTAAAGCAGCCTGAAAATAAAGAATTGTATTAATCTAGCCTGGAACTTTTGCATCACTTTGAGACGGAAAGTGCCTGTTTTTTGATGCATTACGTAGGTGAAAAAAGGCAGTCCTTAAAGTTTTTTTTATCTTAGTGTTAAAGGACACATCCTGATCAAAGACTCTGTATGGTGCTGCTGGATATCAGAGCAATGCCATCCAGAGAAACTATATAACCAGATGACTAAGAATATTTAGATTGTATGCTCTAGGACTGTTGTGATATACAATATCATTAGGACATACTTAACCATGAAACTTTTTTTTTATGACAAATGTAGGTCATTTTATTAAGCATGCCATTATGTTATCTATTTTTAAGTCCTACTCCATTATTTGCCAAACGCATTTGATATAGACTTTTGGACAAACATACCATTGTATGACTTGTACAACATCAATAATTACTAATAATATTAACAGTACTACAACTACTGCTACTATAACAATTAATATTAAGAGTATTACTACAACGTCTTCATTAATATATCCGTTTGCTATAATATGTTGGATTCATGTTAATGTGTATTTAAAGACAATAAATACAATTCTGATTCTGAAGACATTTAAATTTGTGGGAAAAAAAATGGTTGGAAAAAGAAAAGAAAAAAGAAATTGTCTTATCAACCAAAGATTTTGCGACCCCTCTGCACTACTGTTGAAGACCTCTGCTTTAGAATATTCCGTCTGCATTCTCATTGGTCTTCAGCCTCTTAAGCTCCTCCTCTAGCTTGCTTATTTGCTGCTGCAGCTCCTTCGTGTCCTTTTGGGCTCTTAGCTCCACCTGTTGCTCCATCTGTTCAACCTTCCTCTCGTACCAACATTCCCACCGAGTTGACACAGAGTCAAAAAACGCTGAGTCACCTGACAGGAAGACAACAACACTTAACTTGAACTTTGGCTTGAAGATTTGAGATAAGCTTAAAACTGTAACACTTTATGATCCAAAACATCTCTCCAGAAACCTATGCGTGACATCATGTAGAATCATGGAAATATGTCAAAATGTGCTAAAAATAAATATTTTGTACCAAAAAAAGTTGAGTAAAAAAAAATATTTTTTTCTGTGCCCTGGTACAAAATGGCCTGCGGCCCAGTTGTTGGGGACCACTGATTTAAACAACGTATTTCATGCAACACAGAGATCAAGGAGCTCATTGATGTTGCTAGAGACTAATTTACCCCAAAACCAGAATTTAGATTCATGGTTTTTATTGATTAGGTGGACTGGCTTGCAGGTGTTCTTCAAGATTCTCCTTCTCTATTACGGCCATGTAATCGACTGGTGACATGAGGTGGGATGGGCTTCGTCCCCCTTGCAATTCTAAATCATACACAGGTTGGATGGATGCAACCTTGATCACTGAGCTTTAGGTGTTGGTAAAAGATTTTTGTCCACCTTGGATAGCCAGGTTGGTTGTTTCCCCCTGTGCCCAGTGTTTGTGCATGGTTGGAGTAATGATGTATTTAGCTAAGCTCCGCATTACGACTGTGAACCCATCTCCAGCACATGGTTTATTGCTGAAATTACAACATCAAAGTAAGTTCAGTTAACATACATTAAGCTGTGATGGTAAAAACACATCCAGATTATCTAAACTGGCATTGCCTTATGTTCTAATAAAATGCAATTACTTACATTACAGGTCATTTAGCAGACGCTTTTTATCCAAAGCGACTTACATTACACTTTAAACCCATGGCTTTTCACATTTTTGCGCTTTTCACATTTTTGCCTGGGGAGCAATTAGGGGTTAGGTGTCTTGCTCAGGGACACTTTGACATGGAACATGGGGCAGCCTGGAATCGAACCACCAACCTTGTGCTTCCCAGCCCCCTCTAACCCCTGCGCCACGACGCAGGGGTTAGGGCATGTACATACAGTGGATAGTTTCCCATCCATCAGTTCACTCACCTCCATAACCTGCTGATTGGTCTTCTCCTGGCCGAACGTGGGCTTAGCAGGTCGGTTCATGAAGAACTCCAGTGTTCTGGTCCGCTCAGTATGAATCCCTACACGCCTGCATTCCCTAATCATGTCTCCAAAATGTTTGCTGTCTGGCCTGTTACAGTGGTGTTCCTGATTATTGATTAGTCTGGGTCCCTGGGCATTGATGCTAGACTGGCTGCTGCTGCTGCTTGAGAAGCCCCCCTCGCATGGGCATCACTGCTCCTATAGGCCTGCCTTGTTCTCCCATAGGCTGCCTGAGGATGTCAACAGAGCACATCAGGAGGTCTGTGGTCTGGGTGGCAGGCATAGGAAACAGGGTTGTCCTCTCATAGTCATCTGATAACAGGCCTGGGGAGGGAGAATAAATCGTTATTATGAAGCAAAATTAACTCTAGAGCCTTAATTTTGTTAGATAGGCAAAATTAGTTTACAAAACAAATGACGACTGACAAGCATGCATTCAGGAGCTAAATATTCAATGGAATGAAATTAATTTTGTAACAGCCCAAAATCACAAATTAGCCTCAGAGGGCTTCACAATCTGTTCACATGCGACATCCTGTGTTCCAAACACAAGAGGGTGGGCAGGATCCGTAATCTGAAAACAAGTCTGCTGCTGAGTGCATTTTGGTCGGTTCGGTCTGTCCAGCCAGGAAACAGACCCATAGCTCTTTTCTGTTTTGGGTCATGTGACCTCTTAATATCTTAAAAATGCACTCTATTGACTGCACCTGTGGATGCTTACACACCTGGCTGGTGACCTGTCCACTTTGATTTCAAAGTATGTTCTGGCCCCCATGTGCTTCTTCT